CGCCCAGGAGAGGGGCCACCCATGCGTCTCGTGCCTGGAGCCGGCACCATGCATGTGGCGCGCGCTGGGGGAGGGGGGCCAGCCCAGATGTTTCAGCGGGCGCACAGAAATCCCCCGGCGGGCGCCATGGCACCCGTGGGCACCGCGTTGGGGACCACTGCTCTAGAAGATGTGAGCTACCCCAATCAGCCTAATGGGTCAAGCTAAAGATGACAATTTAAAATATCAGCATTATTAAATATTTTATTTTACAATCTTGAACTGCTTCCCTGGTATCAAAAACTCCATATATGTCTTGCTACACCTATAAGCCAAAAGCCACAGTTTCCCCAGTGACCGCTTTTACAATACAGTTGTGCATGGGTCAATAAAAATGAAAACTAATTGTGAGGGCAGCATAAAATAAATTTAATACTACAATTAACAAAGGGTCTGCTGTGCAGATAACATTGTCCATTTTCATATTTTATTTCAAGATTACATTATAAAATGTTTCTGAAGAAGTCTCAGAATTTCTAGGCTGTTGCATCAAAGCACAGCTGACTAGTGACAGAATTGTTGTCCAATTTACCACAGAGTACATGAAGACTTGTCTACTGTACCTCTGCAAAAAGATCTGCTCTTACTGATTACAAGTTCTTACCAATCCTCTGGCTTTTCAGCATTAGGATCTGGAATATATTGTAGTTCATCATCAAGCCATCCCTCAGGCTTGACAGCATCAGGATCTTCTATTTTGGAAGGTTCATCTTCATCCCTTTAATGACAGATTGATATTACCAGAAAAAATATAGCAATCTGGCTCCAGAGTGACAAAGTAGTAGTCAAAGGAACATAAATGACACAAAAGAGATGATTTTCAAACACACAAAAAGGAGTTGGGTATCCAGCACTAAGAGCAGGATGTTCTGCTCCCCTTTGTGCCTTTGAAAATCTCCAAAATCAAGTTAAGCAGTTTTAGATAATACACTAGCTCCCAAGTTACCATTGCCAACTTGTGATTTAGTGTGACATCTTCCTGTTTAAAGATGGTTTTCTCAGCTATGTGAAAGCTCCACAGTCATGGAAAATAACTATACAGCAGAAAAAGAGACGTGAGCTATATAAAAGTGCTGTCACATGCATCAAGTAAAACTGAAAAAAGGTTCTTCCCAATCTTTTATTTATCTTATCTATAGGTGTTACTTGTACCAATAGCAGGAACAAATTTTTCAGAGACAAAATGTGCTTTTTTTTTTTTTTTTTTTTTTAAAGAATTACCAGTCTCCTTTAGCCCCTGGCGCATATGGACTCAAATACTACTACTATTTCCAGAAGTAAAAAACAGTCTGCCAACACCATAAAATTAGAAGTCAAAGCACCAAAAATGAATATCTTGCATGCTATATAATGTATAAATAAAATATATTTTCCTCACCAATCATCTGGTTTGACAGCATTAGGGTCAGGAATCTTTGGTCTCTCATCCCAGTCATCTGGCTTCTTATCACTGGGATCGTCTATTTCTTTCGGAGGATTCACAGGAGGAACCATATCTTCCAGAAGATTTCCTTTGCCGACAATGGATTGGTCAATTAACAGTTCAAACGTGTCATCTGGTTTCAGCACTAAATTGCAAGATAATAAATATATTATAAAAATTGTGAAATAAAGAAACTGCATTTTAGTCTTTTGCTTAAAATGTTTATCTGTGTACAGACACAGATTAATGTGTAATAAACACACAAGATTAAGTCTGCTTTCTGAAAAACTCAGGGAAAAAATGTAATTTTTTTATATCATTAAGGAACATGTTTTGACCCCATCCCGGCTTCTCACTCAGCAGCCATCTCAAAGTTTCCACTTTTGTTTTAGAAATCAGGAAATCTGTATTTAATTTATACTATGGAATCAAGTGAAAATACTGCATTAGTGAAGTGAAGGGTAGACAGTATCAATTCTGGGATTACTAGAAAACTGGCATGTTTTTGATTAAGATAAAATATAAATTGTAATGGCATACAAAACACTCTGTTAAAAGACTATTAAGGTTGAAAAGTCAAGCATTCAAAAACTAGGAAATACCAGAATGAAGGCTGTTTGTTTTCTCTTTCTTGTCTGGCCCCATGTCTTATCTACTGAATATTGTTCAAATCTCTGAATACAAAATTATTAATTCCTTATGGGCTTTTCTATGCATTCATCACTACTGTAGCTGAGTACTTCACAAATATTAACAAATTTATTTTTTCAACACCTCTATAAGACAGGAGGTATTATTTCCATATTGCAACTGGGAAAGGATGTAACAATTAAGATAAGATATTCCCTTTATTTTTCAGTGTTCTTAGCATTATATAGCATTTTATACATTCGCAGACCAGTTCCATGGACTTCAGTTGCAGAAGTTATTGCTCAGTGCCTCTGTAAATCAGGCCCCAGAATCTCAAGTTAGGCACCCAAAAAATAAACACAATTATTGACCATCACAAGTTACAGTAAACTTCCGATAATCCGGCACCTTTAGGACCCACGGGGTGCTGGATTATCAAATATGCCAGACCATCAGAAGGGGGAGCTATAAGGGGTCTGGGGTGGAGTGGCAGGGGGGGGGCCCCCCCCCGGGACCAACCCGGCAGCACCCCAGTTGCTCTGCCCCAGACTTCCCCAAGTCGGCTGCTGCTGAAAATGACCAGCCGCTGAATCCAGGAAGCCTGGGGCAGAGCAGCTCCAATTGTCTGGCTGCCCGGAGCACTTCTGGGTTCCAGATGGTGCCGGACCACAGGAGTTTTACTGTACTTGACTACCATTACATAGGAACTCTATGGCAGATGCGGGAAGAGAATTTAATTCTCTAGGGCAGCATTCAACTCTAAAGATGGAGACTGTCCTTTCCCTTCCAACAATCCCCTACTTCATTTACTAAACATCTTCCATCTTTGGCAACAAATAAAGCAATAGTCTAATAGACAACAGCCTCTATTTACTACATATCAGTGTTCCTGAGAGAAGGTCCATTCTGTGCACTGATGAAGTTGGGGTCCTCTGGAAAAAACACTATGTGTTCATGAAAGAAAGATTACTTCAACATGCATAGTCACAAGGAGGGCAAATTAATGTTGCACAGGAAGCATTAATTCTGACACTTCCTAATGAATATACTTGAATTTGCAAACCTAATGATGTCCTTTTAATTGATGTGTGTGCAATTTCCTAGATTTTTAAGACAATAAACTGAAACAAATTCCATCACATGGCAGAAATTCCATCATGCAGATCATTCTGATATCATATAGGTCATCAGAAAGATTGTAGCCTTTAGATCCACCACAAAGACTTTTGATATTGAGATAACTGGGTAACTGACAGCAGTTTCAGTAGAATTTTATCATCTTCTGCATAGACAACCACTAGAGGGGACAAGTTGCTAATGAGGTGCAGAAATATTTCCTGAAAGCAGAGGAACAATTAGATTCAGGAATTCTGGGTTTCAAACTATTGAGGGAAGGGCTGTCTAGCAGAAACAGACTCTGATCATTCTCGCCCCCCCCCCCACTCCACAGCTTGCCCCCTTCTTTCCAACTTGTCTGAAATACATTTTTCCCCACTATCTAGCAGTATTGTCTCCATTTCCTTCCTCCCCACATTTATTGTAGGACCATGGAATTGAAGATAGATGGGATGTATTAGTAATAAAGAGGATCTTGTGTTACCCATCACACCTAAATTTGACAATAATTTAGGATTACTGTGGGTAAGTAAATTTGAAACATTTAATTGTTAGAGACTTATCAGAAATACTTGATTTGGTTTTTTTTTAAGTAGTAGGTTAAGTATTCCAAGCAGCCATTAACAGTGTCAAGGATTCCATCTCCATAATCAGAAAGATGTTTCAAATTTCATCTTTTAGAACACAATGGGGGGGAGGAGGAGGGGAGAGGATAAAACAAATGCCTGTTGCCAGCTCTAATCCAGCTCTCTAACTTAATCTATGGCCCTAAGATTGGGCTATTGCAATGTGCTCTTTATGGCGCTTCCCTTCTGCTTCTTCTGGAAAAAAACTAGCGCAGTTTGCCTATTAAGCAGTGTTTCTTGGTGGAAGTAGTTATTTCTGGTACCCCATGAATTTTAAACAATAGAATTGCAAAGCCATTTATTTAAGTTATACACAGATATCTATAGCAACAAACAAAAGCATATAGACAAAATAGACTCATTTGTAAGTGAATGGGGACCTCATTTTCTAACCTTTCCTTTTAAGTGCAAAGTTAAGAATTAAAGGATACCCAGAGTATACAGATGTGTCTTCTTGTCTGAATAGAATTTTTTTAGGTCTACATCAGGACGCTTAGCATGCTTTTCCTCATAAACTCCAGTTTTAGGATTCTTATGTCTGAAGATAAAATGTAGTTTATAATCTTCTCCACATTTATCTGGTCCAAACATAATTGTGTAAGGTGTTTTGTCAAAGAAATGTTCCTGTAGAAGCAAGAGAACATAGCATTGGTTATACAGTACATCTTGTGTACCTCTATTCTTTGATGCTGGTGGAGTTCAACTAGCATATAATCCTATTGTCATACATTTCATGCAATGAAATATCAGTCCAGCACCCAACAATTCGAAGCTCAATCCTGCAAGATGTTCAGCACTTCTTGATAGGTGCTGTGTGCTCTTTGTTTCCACCACACTGACCATGCAAGGATTCTCAGCACCTCACAGGAAATCATTCAGCTAGTGATTTGCTAATCTTTTATTAAATTCTCTTCTTTAAAAAATAAAATACAATGATGGTACATATAAGCTCTTCTCTTCCCTTGCCTCCTCTCCACTGTGTTTATACCTGCTTGTCATGTCACATCACTCTTCACCCTAATCTATTTGGGAGAGGAAAGGACTTAACTCATGTTTCTCCAGCATCACTCTCAAACCTTACTGGGATTGAGACCAGGAAACATCATAAACATCACAGACCGGAGACCAAATGTCTTCAGGAGGTATGTAACATCATCACTGAACCAGAGACAGTGTGAGAGACTAACAGCTATAGTCAGAGTTTTTTTTCCTTTTACTTGAAGCTGTGTATATGCTCAGTAATGTGGATGCTGAAACAACTGATTGTATAGTACAATTAAATGTTTTATTTATGTACATAATAGCCAAGGGCTGGATAAAGCCTAGGTGAAAGCAGATTTCTGACTGTCATAAGTCCCAATCTCTGTATTGATTTTGTACAGTATTTTATATCTACAGCTGTCTACATTTTAGGGGGGAGGGGTGGAGTAGGTACCCAGTTATATTCTTCATGTTAAAGGAAAACACAACATCTCTAGTTAGTGATGACAGTCTAGCTAGGATACATTTAAAGTGTTATGCTGTAATGATTTATCTTTGGAGTATTATTCATAAAAAGGAATATGAAACTATCGCGTGTGTGTGTGTTTGTGTGTGTGTGTGTGTGTGTGTGTGTGTGTGTGTGTGTGTGTGTGTGTGTGTGTGTGTGTGTAAGTAAAACTCTTCTGGTAAGAAGAAGAAACTGAATAAGATTGAATTTTTTGTTTCAATTTATATGTAAGCAGGGTCTAAATCAATGCTTCCAATGCAGTCAGCTGGAATGGGAAAGGAATCCTAGGTATGGTTATGCTCACTCAGTTGTTTAGCCCTGCAAGGTATTCCAGTGTTATGTAAATACAGTTCATGCTGGAATGGGAAAGAAATCCTGTGTGTGGTTATGTAAATACAGTTAGGTCAGTGCTATAGGCATGATAGTCAATTGTTAGAATGGTATTTTGCCTAGTGTAATTAATTTGGCTGCTGTGGGGGTCACAAACTATGTTAACCCTAAATGTAGGAATTGTAAATTAGGACCACCAATGCTTGCAGGAGAGACAGTCATTGTAAAAATCTCAGATTGACAAGCCTTTCCCTTCCAGACTCAAGTGAAGTGAATTGGCAGGGAGAGCAGAGCAGAGCTCTGAACCAGCAGACTTCATGTCCTCCAGGTGTAAACTGTAAAACTGGTTCAACTTGTTTACTTCCCTCTCCTCACCCCCGTTCTAATGATAGAACTAAAACAGACTCCACAAGGAGTCTCTTTATTTTCTGTTGGCCTGCACTGTGGGTCAAGAGCTGAAATCACTGCAAAGCTGGAATCACAGAAAGCTGAAATTACTAGGCTTGGCCCAGATCCAAATCCATCACAAGGCCAGTGGAAGCAGGCGGCCATCTGGCAGGAGCAAGCAAGCCAGTAGAGGGCCAGTAGGGTGGCTGGCAGGAGCAAGTGGCCAGCAGGAACAGTGGCGGGCAGCTGGCAGGAACAGTAGCTGGCGACTGGAAAGCAACTGGTGGGAGTGGCTGGCAAGTGGCAGCAAAGTGGTGCCAGAAAGCAGTGAGCAGGTGCATGGAGAGTGATCAGCAGAGTGGGTGAGACCCCTCCTATCCCACACCGCAGGATGGGAAGGGAACTCTGCAAATCACCTCTGAGCTCTGGTCTGCCCTGACCAAGGGCAGCAATGGCAAGTGGGGTGCAGAGAAGGGTTGGGCATATGAAAGGGGCACTTACATTGCTGGACTTGTGAGCCTGAGAGGCAAAGGACATTGCCCAACCTACCTGAGCTGGGATGTTTACTCATGATTTGGTTATGAACTCCATTAGTGGTGTTTCCCCAAGTTAATGCCATGTTATTTCTCTCCCTCGTTCATTAAAAGTTTATTTTTCTATGCTCAGACTTTGAGCTTGTGAATGGGGTAGCGCTGCCTCTCAGAGATGCCCAAGGGGTTGTGTGAATTTCCCAGGTTACTGGGTGGGGGCTCAAGCAAGTTGTGTTGAATGGATAGAGAGGAACCCCTAGATATGGAACACGGCCCTGGCTGCTGCAAATGGGTTACATTATAAATATCCACTTTTAGTATTTGGAAGAGTTCCTCTAGAAAATCTAGCTGTAGTCTCTGGAGAGGAAAGGAATTTATGATCTTTGCAAATACTTGAAGTTGCAGAGAGGCATTCTCTAGAACAGAATTACTCAACATAAATTATATGAATCCTAAGTTGATGCTAGTTCAACTTCACTAGGATCTCACCCTCACAGGAAGGAAAAACAGTCAAAACTCTCATGTGTGATAAACAAAAAAGGAACAGGGTTTGTATTGCTTAAGGGGACTTTGGATGAGGTGGGCCATCCAAAGATGACAAACAGTCAAAAAATCACTATGGGAAAGTGTTTTACCCTTAAAAAGATAATCAGATTTTACATATGGCAATTAATAATAATAAACCCCCACTGACCTCTGGTAACAATGTACTCTCCTGCTGATAAACAGACTTATGTATCCTTTATATGTATGTTCACTTAAAAACCGCCCGCTTCTATGAGAGGAAAACAAAATGGCAGAGGACCAGATAGGAAGGGATCTCTCTCTTGCTTTGTGGAACTGAGGCCAATCCCAAACAATTTGGGGCCTCTAAAAGTCAACACCAGAAGTTTAAGTTCTGGGGCATGAACATATCTTCTAAAGTAATTTAGGCCACATTTTCACGATTTAAAAGATCGCTCAATCTTAGCAATAGCTCTCCGACCCAAAATGGGTATCAATCTTACTAAGATCTAAAAAAAAAAAAAATGATCCAAGGTCCGAAAACTATCCCATACAGTGAGAGACATAAGAAGCTCAACCTATTTATCACAGAGAGGGTTAAGTAGTAACCTGATCACAGTCTTCAAGTATCTACAAGGGAAGAGATTTCCAATAGCAGGCTGTCCTATAAAATAGCAGGAAAAAAGGCATAATGACATATATTGGGTGGAAGCTGAAATCTAGACAAACTTGCATTACAAATATATCCTTAATTATAAAAATGTGAATTAACTAATGACATGGTAGATTCTTCATCATTTGAAGTCTCAAAATCAATACTGCGCATCTTTTTAAATGGGATGGTATAGCTCAAACAGAAGTTTGGTTTGATGCAGGTAAATGGCTTGTATTACTAAATGAGATGTAAGTGACTGATCAGAACTGTCCCCTCTGCCTTTAACATCTATGAGTTGTCATTTTATTTAGATTTTAAGAAAGAATAGTTGAGATCACTTGAGTCCTGCATGTAGACTATTAGTAGTATATGGTCTACATTACGTAATATGCCCATGAGCCCAGATATTCACAAACGCTATAGAAAATATATCAGAGTGAATGCATTATGTGTTCTTGGGTGAATTAGATCTTTATATGTTTTTTAAAAACTTTTTTGTATTTTAAGCTTTTTTTTTTTGCTTTGAAAATAATATAGATTAACTATGATTAACTATTTCTTGTATTCAAGGTGTATGATGGGGTGAGGCAACCCCGTCATTACGGCCAACCGGGGGGTAGCCGGGACGCCGAAGGGACCCGCACTCATGCCACTATGGAAGCGGCAGGGCAAAAGCCGGCAACTCCGCTTGGGGGGAGGGTTCAACATACAGGGAGCACGAGTACAGCAGGAGGCAGGGGGAGGAATGTTTGGGCAGAGCACCCCGCCCGGCGGGTGATGTCACCCGCACAACAGGGAGCAGTGGCAGAATGGACAGCGGGTCAGCAAAGGGAGATGATATCCCCTGTTGAATCTAGGAAGAGGAGGAGGATAAAAGCCTGGGGGAAGGCGCAGAAGGGGGAGGACGGACATGGCAGGTGATGAAGGCAGAGAAGGGAACGCAAAGGGGCCCACTTGAGAGGTTGTCACGGTGGTCCCCGGCGGCGGAGTTGAACAGTGGCCCAGGGCAGGGTCGCGAAGCCCCCCGAGTAGGCAAGTTTAGGAGTAACCTCCCACCCGTCTGCTACTGCAGGGAGCACTGTTCCCTCCGTTAGGGCTCTGGGCCACTCTCTCTGCCGCCGGTGGGTGACCTAGTGGCTACGAGCGCAGGTGTATCCTTCCCTTACCATTCAGTCTTTACGGCACATGTGTAGAGGGAGGGGGCGGGCCTCTGAGAAGTGGCAAGGGTGTCATGTGCGAATAAAACAACTAGGTGGACTGGACAAAAGGGGTGCAGACTTGTGACAAGGTGTAACAGATGCTAGTAAGCATAATAATTGCCTAAAACTCAAAAGGCTTTATGTGCATACAAGATGATCTACCCGGCACTGGTCAAGTCCTTAACTCAAGCAATTTTTGTTTTTCTTCACTTAAATTAATGCTCCCGGGTGGGGCTGGGGATCAGGTGTTCAGAAAGCAGGCTGCCACTGGGAGAGAGGACAACCCCAGAGCTCTCTTACCACAGCAGCTTGGGGCCAGGTGACAAGTGCCCGTCTATGGCTGCTGCAGAAGGCACAGCTAGGAGAGAGATGCATGTTTGGGGGCAGACAGACACACAAACAGACAAACTCTCTCAAATGTATAGTACAGTGGTCCCCAACACGGTGCCCGCCGGTACCATGGTGCCCGCGGGGGCATTTATGTGCGTCCGCCAAGTGCTCGGGGCTGGCCTAGCCCCGGGGCATGTGGCGCAGGCATGGTGCCGGCCCCAGGCACATGGCTCACGGGGGGGGGGGGGGGAGGGGGAAAAAAGGTGACTAAGAGGGAGGGGAATATCAGAGGTCTATAAAATCATGTCTAGAGTGGAGAAAGTAAATGTTATTTACTTCTCATAATACAGGTTTCCTTCTCAATGGGCTCGTCTACACTGGCCCAGAGGGCGCCGGCCCCGGGGCGCATGGGGGGGCCCTGCCCCCTGCCACACAGCTATGGGGGGTCCCATCCCCCGGCGTGCAAGTGTCCCCGCCCTCTGGTGCCCGGCGGGTGAACAGCCACGCCCCCCTGGCGCCTAGCAACCTCTAATGGTTGGGGACCACTGGGTATAGTAGATAGCTGTCCCTTTCTCCACTCCTGCCCTCTGCTTCCTGAATGAGATTATAGCTGACCCAGTCCTCAACTCTGGACCCTTGCTGCCTCCCGCCCCCGTGGTCATTAAACAGTATTACTGTCCCAGCTAGCAGACTTCTCCCTTTCCATTTTATGAGAAACAAATCATCACACTCCAAGCACATAGCATTGTCCTGGCACAACCAGACCCTTACTTTGCTTTAAATAATGGTAAAAGAAAGCTTCATACCAAATTTGGTGGTCCTAGCTACTACCATTTAGGTGTTCTTGAAGAAATGGATGGATGGATGAGAGGGGCACAGACTTGCTCAATTATATAGTAGATAAGATTTTAGAACAACTATATTCAGATGAGAGAAAGATATATTAATGAAAAACCTGAAAGAGAAACTTATAAGTACATTTTGGGCCCAATACCCCCATTTGCTGAGCATTTTGGGTACTAAGGGAATGAATAATCTTATCCGTCACATTTCTACAAGCCAATGATCACATTCCTTTAAACAGAAGAAGAATTATAAAAATGTTACATAAAGAGCATACCAGATCTAAATCATCAGAACCAGAAAGAAGCTTAACGTATGCACCACCACAATCAATGCCATCTTGAAAGTTCACTTCATATCTGTATGAAAAGGAATCAAAGAACATATTGCTGTAACCCTGGAGAAATTAAAGCTCACTTTCATCTACTGTTTAAGTCTGAATACATGCACAAGATTGTATACAAACATTTATATTACAATATAAATCATTACTTACAAAACACTTCTAGGACATTACATGAAATATTTTATTGCTATTGCAATATAAGGCAACACGTAGCAGTCAGTGTCAATCTAAAAAAAAGTTACAGTACAACACAATAGCAAGCTCTACTAGGAAAAGTTTTTGGACAGATACATAGAAGTCATTCACTGCATCACTTTGATCAAGTTGAATGGGGAATTTCTGTACTATGTGCCTTACCTATATCATGGTTTAGATTTTACTACAGCAGCCCTCTCTAGTAAAATAGTTTCTTCTAAATCACTTTTAGTCAATATCCACTACCTTAAAAATTTCAAAAATGTATTTAGACTAGGAATGTAAAATCTTGTTTAACTGGTTAACCAGTTAAACAGGATCTTTAATCAGTTAACTGATTAAAGGGGGCATGGGTAGGTCCCCTCACCCCCACCCCTCGTCAGACAGAGAGCTGCTCCAGCTCTCACTGGTTAATTGGAACCTGTAACCATCACCCTTAATGGGATAACAGGTTAACCTCTCTAATCCCTAATTTAGATATCACTGAAATGTTTGTAAATTCCATGCAATTTGGAAGCTCACTTGCGGAGATGCTGACATTTACATGGCAGTCTTTTACATCAATTTTGAGATACTGAGTTCCTCAGTATTCAGACAACAGGTTTAAAACATCACTATTTGCTATATTTTTAACATATGAGCACTAAAATATAGCTTTAGTTTGGGTTTGAAGATCTTAAAAGCTAAAACATTTATAATAATAATAAAATAATGTGCACATAAATTATTATTATTATCATCATCAACAACAAAATCTCCATATTTGTGCTTTTGGTACATTTGTGCAAAACTATCGATGTTGAAATGGAAATCAGAATCATGAAAAAATACAATTTTTTATATTTCAAAGTTAGATAAGTAATTAAGTAACAACCTGTAGAGCAACTTACTGAACAATCAAAGGCTTAGAATCAAAAATAAATGGCCTTGTTAACATAGCTGATATTGCATGATGTCTTGCTATTGACTTTAAAACTAATCCTCTATCTCCAGGCACTGTGTTTTCCTTAAGCGCTTCTACTTCCCATCTTCCTAAAACAAAAAACACAAGTTTTGAAAAATAGCAAGATGAAGGCAAGAAATTACTGTTATCTTGAAAAGAAATTAAGAGATTTGGAAGGAGCTATCGGACGCAGATTACCATAGCTATGTTATTATTTAAATATGATACAAAAATATCACACACAAAAATTTGTGATTGCATTTGAGATTTCCTGATACCAACAGTTTTTTGCAGATAATCAGGTGTTACTGCACAAACCAATTACAGTAAAACTCCAGCAGTCTGGCACCCCTGATGGTCCAGCACCATCTGGAACCCAGAAGTGCTCCAGGCAGCCGGACAATTGGAGCTGCTCTGCCCCTGGCTTCCCCGATTCAGCCGCTGCTGAAACTGACCAGCGGCTGACTCGGGGAAGCCGGGGGCAGAGCAGATGGGGTGCTGCCGGGTTGGTTCTGCAGAGCTATGGGGCACATCCCCTCCACTCTACCCCAGACCCCTCATAGCCCCCCCTTCTGATAGTCCGTCATATTTGATAATCTGGCATCCCCTGGGTCCTACAGGTGCTGGATTATCAGAAGTTTACTGTACTAGGAGCAAATCTTGACACTCGGTGCCAAAAGTAAAAGTTAGACAACTACAGAATAAAACATTCAGTTTATCGCTAATGATACAACGGTGGATTTTTTTTCCTAAAGTTTTACTGCTTAGATCACATTTAAAGTTCAACTGACAAGATAAATTATCATTGCACACACTTACAGTTCACACACCCACTCCTGTAATAGATCCATAATCTCTGGGTGAGTTACTGGTGTCCTCAAATCATGATATAGAAACTACTGTTACTGTTCACCTTGCCTTTCATCTAAAACCAGTGTAAATGTGAACAGGGAAGCTAAGATATTTTAAATGTATGTGTATTAGAACTGTAACAACACTGAAGTCTGAGAATGAATCAGTTAAAGAAAACATTTAAGTTCATAAGTTGGCCAATTGACAATAATAGTCCTCCCATCCTTCAAGAAACAGCGTTTGGTTTTCCTTGCTCTGAAAACAGTGAAATCACTGTATCAATGTATGTTTCAATTCAATGTATGTTTGATACATATTTCCTTCTTGGAGACTAAACTGAAGCCATAATGTTCTACAAAATGTATGAGGGGAAAATGTAAACGTGCAGGGCCATTAAAGAGGTCTATGAGGGCCTCCAATCACAAATAGAAATTGCAGGCCTTTCTGGATGTCAGGATCACGAGAACTACCTACTTATAGACACTACGAGCATATTTATTTCCATCAAGTAAAAAGCTAAGTTAGGACTGCAGAAGTCTGGCCAGGATCTGTAAGATTTATCTGAGGTCAGACTCAACTTAATGGGGGTAGGCTTTGGTCATAGAATCATATTCCTCTGGTGTATTAAGCAGCTATTCTAATAACTGAAGTTCTGGAACATTTTGCTATACCTTTGCTAACAGCAGTAGCCTCTTTCCCCAATATAGTCATCTTTTTTCCATGTCATAAGCAAAAAGCTGGTAGCTGCTTTTTCTGAAGGTTGAGGAAGGTTCGAGCTGTCACGCTGGTCCAGAAAACAGACCATGGATTGAAGATTGTCTTGTAATCCTTCCCTGACACACATGTGGTGACCTGGAATGTCGGGGGATATATGCCAGTCTCACACTTGCAAAGCCATTAAGTTGTGACTCAGAGCCTTTCTGTTCAATTATGTGTGTCATGGTAGCTTAACCACCCATTTAAATAAGGACTATTTTTAGGGACACCAAGGCTACAAAGATTTAGGATTAACACTCTCAATATATTTATACATTGTTGCCATTCAGAGAGTAAATCTTCTGGGTGCAGAGTCTCTGTGTGATCTTCTTATCTGAGGTGGGATACATCTATGGCCATTTCATTGTGAAGCAAAGGCACTTAGAAGTCAATTCCTAATTGCAGATTGCCTTGGACTGGCATCAAGTAAGAAAATCTTTAATAAAGACTTTTTTCTCCCACATGTTCTTTAGAAATTGGAGACAATGATATGTTCAATTAAAAGACCCCAAAAGTTGTAAATGATCTAACTAAAACTCTCCTCCCCTCCAAACTGTTCAATTTACTGTCTTTTGATACATCTGTATGCTCTAAGACACTCTAGTAACAGAACCAAATTTCAATTCATTTAAAGGCAGAGAAACTGATTTGACAAAAAGCTTTTCAGAATTTCTTTATATATAATGAAAAAAAAAATCCATAAAAGGATACAGGTAAGCACCAAATCTGACAAGAGAACCAAAGAATTTGAATGGTCACCCCTAAAGACTCAGAAGCCAAAGACGTCACACAGCTGCTGAGCTCTATGGACCTTTTGTATGCAACAGCCCCCTACAGGGCTCACACTTTGATTTGACAAAAATAACGTTTCACTGAAGTTGGAAATTACCAGATCATTATAGCTCACATAGATACTTCAGAAGATATCAATTGATGAATCAGTAGCAGATATACAGCAATGTGAATAAATATAGCTTACGGCATAGATCTTTATTAATTAAGAAATTCCACTGTATCTCATCAGTTTTAAGTACAAAAACCCTTTAAAATAATATTGTACTTAAGACATTTTGCTGTTCTATTAAAATTTTAATTAGAGAAGGGGAAGACTGTTCTCAAAAAGCACCACTCACATCATACAACTGCCACTGGCTACTCAGATATCAGATGTTCTAACACTGTTTTCTCTGCAGTAATAACTTGAGATTCTTTCAACTGAACTGCTTTTTCCTAATATAATTACAAGTTGCACCTCCCTGGTCTGGCACCCTTGAGACTCGAGCGGTCATAAACAAGGGAGTTTGCCAATCCAGGGGAGGTCAGACCTCTGGGTTCTCCTGGGGCTCCCCCTCCTGACTGCTGCCCCAAGACAACCCAGAGGCCTGACCTCCTCCAGCCCACCTGCCTGGCTGGCTCTGCTGCCCCCAGCCTGCTTACAAGACTCTGCTCCCTGCCTCTGGCTTTGCACAGGGCAACAGCTGCTTCCAGGGTTCCCTACCACCCTGCAAAGGCAGCAGCTACTTCTGAGGAACTGCCTGGCTCTGCACAGGGCAGCAGCCTCTCTCAGGGCTCCCTGCCTCTGGCCTCTGCAAAGCAGCAGCCTCTCCCATCCCAGGACTCTCTGTCCCCAGGTCAATTGCCCTGCAGACTTCTACCCACCAGACCAGCTCCATTCCCAGCCACTCTCAACCTCTGCAACCTGACGGACCACAGATGTTGCCAAACCAGAGAGTCCCAGATGAGACAGGTTCAACCTGTACTTGCTAATATCCGCCCTGTGGGCAGCAGGAAATATATTTCCATATCAAGATAACTTTCTGTATTCTACATCTTAAAGGCATTTTTTTAAAAAAGTCAAGTGTATGGATAGAAAAGCATAATGTAAGTTACAGTTGAAGTCTGCTTTTTGAGAAAGAAGCCACACAACACTGAAAAGAAAGGAGGAAGGTTTACCATCATATTTAGAAATATTTTCATCTGTGTCTTCTTTCTGGGTTTTAGATAACAGCCACCTGTGGAAGAACAAACAATTAAGTTGTGTAATACAGACAAGAAAATATAAATAAAATTGGATTATTATTTTTAAAAGGAAGCAAAAACTTCTTTCATTGTGGATAGTTAAGTAGTAAATGTACAATAAGGATATTTTGACAAAATAAATCACCTAATTCACCGATTTTTTTTGTAATTTAATCTACATGAAGAAACAATATTAACATCGGGGCTAATCTGCAGGCACACTTAATAGTGACTCGAGTCCTAATAAGAATTTAAAACAAGTAAAATTAGTATGAACCAAAATTATTAACATCCAGATAAAAATCATGAGCTAAGGTTTAGATCACATTTAAGGATAATATCTGTAAGCATCACAAAAATACATATTACACACCCAGGACATTTATAATTAAGGTTAATTTTCTTAAAATTCAAACATATCAAGGTTAAGAAAAGCATACGTAAGGCACCCAGACCTTAACTCTATCCTGTAGTGCCACCGTGGGGGAAGCAGAGGGACAGGCAAAATCCCAATGTGTCTTTAAAAGTCAGTTTAAGATAATTCAGAATTACCAACAGTTATACACTAATCATACTTACTGAACATATACTTTAAAGGATCTGAAGGCCTTCAGTGATAGGTGTTAAGATATTTAAAAACTTTTCCAAAGGACAAAGTATCTGAAATTATTTTAGTATCCACTTTACCCTAAGTTTTATGTATTGATGTTATTGCCCCTCCCACCCACTTACCTTGCAAAATAAGAACTCTATCCTACTACTTCCAGTTAAATTAAAGAATAAATACATAGTACTACTTCAATGGGGAACACTAAATATTGTTTTCCCTAGAGACATCACTTTTGGCATCTGGTTATTATTTCAACAGCACAGGGAATTAATAAAAGCAATATTTTAAAATCTTTTGTGCCATAACTGTTGAAAAGTTCAGATTCACAGTATTAGTTAAGTAACCCAAATAATAGGGAACAGAGAAAAATCTGGCTTTTGTTTTCCCAATGTGAATGTTTTCTCA